AAATTCTGAAACCGTCCAAGCAATTGCCAAGTTTATTCAGCGACTGTTTCACTAAAAGAGAGAATTTCATGAAAAGCAATTTACCAGCTGCCTCAAAATAACACCAAAAAATATTTATATAATAATATTTTCACAGTATTACTATTTATTTCTTTTTTATTATTATTATTACTTATGTATTTTATTGTTCCTTATATCCTTATTGTATTCTAATCTAGATCCCAGAAGGGATACGATATCAATAAAGGTTGTTATATACACACAGTTCAGTAATGCCCACCACCCTCTGTTCGTCAGACACACACAGTTCAGCAATGTACACCACCCTCTGTTCTTCATACACACAGTTCAGTAATGCACACCATCCTCTGTTCGTCAGACACACACATTTCAGCAATGCACACCACCTTGTTCCTCAGACACACAGTTCAGCAATGCACACCACCCTGTTTGTCAAACACAGTTCAGCAATGCGCACCACCCTCCGTTCGTCATACACACAGTTCAGCAATGCACACCACCTCTGTTCCTCATACACACAGTTCAGCAATGCACACCATCCCCTGTTCGTCAGACACACACAGTTCAGTAATGCACACCACCTTGATCCTCAGACAAACAGTTCAGCAATGCACAGCACCCTCTGTTCCTCATACACACAGTTCAGCAATGCACAGCACCCTGTTCCTCATACACACAGTTCAGCAATGCACACCACCTTGTTCCTCAGACAAACAGTTCAACAATGCACACCACCTTGTTCCTCATACACACAGTTCAGCAATGTATACCACCCTCTGTTCCTCATACACACAGTTCAGCAATGCACACCACTTTGTTTGTCACAGATAAAAAGTTCAGGAATGCACATCATCCTATTCCTCAGACACAGTTCAGCAATGCAAACCACCCTGTTCCTCAGACACACAGTTCAGCAATGCACACCATCTTCTGTTCCTCATACACACAGTTCAGCAATGCACACCACCCTATTCCTCAGACACATAGTTCAGCAATGCACACCACCATGTTCTTCAGACACACAGTTCAGCAATGCACACCACCCTATTCCTCAGACACATAGTTCAGCAATGCACACCACCCTATTCCTCAGACACACAGTTCAGCAATGCACACCACCCTATTCCTCATACACACAGTTCAGCAATACACACCACCCTCTGTTCCTCATACACAGTTCAGCAATGTACACCACCCTCTGTTTGTCAGACACACAGTTCAGAAATGTACACCACCCTCTGTTCCTCAGACACACAGTTGAGCAATGCACACCATCCTCTGTTCCTCAGAGACACAGTTCGGCAATGCACACCACCATGTTCATCATACACACAGTTCAGCAATGCACACCACCCTGTTCCTCAGACACACAGTTCAGCAATGCACACCACCATGTTCATCATACACACAGTTCAGCAATGCACAGCATCCTGTTCCTCAGAGACACAGTTCAGCAATGCACACCACCATGTTCGTCATACACACAGTTCAGCAATGCACACCACCATGTTCGTCATACACACAGTTCAGCAATGCACACCACCCTCTGTTTGTCAGACACATAGTTCAGCAATGTACACCACCCTCTGTTCCTCATACACACAGTTCAGCAATGCACACCACTTTGTTTGTCACAGATAAAAAGTTCAGGAATGCACATCACCCTGTTCCTCAGACACAGTTCAGCAATGCAAACCACCCTGTTCCTCAGACACACAGTTCAGCAATGCACACCACCATGTTCGTCATACACACAGTTCAGCAATGCACACCACCATGTTCGTCATACACACAGTTCAGCAATGCACACCACCCTCTGTTTGTCAGACACACAGTTCAGCAATGCACACCAACCTCTGTTCTTCATACATACAGTTCAGCAATGCACACCACCCTCTGTTCTTCATACATACAGTTCAGCAATGCACACCACCCTGTTTGTCAGACACACAGTTCAGCAATGCACACCACCCTGTTTGTCATACACACAGTTCAGCAATGCAAACCACCCTGTTCCTCAGACACACTGTTTAGCAATGCACATCACCCTCTGTTTCTCAGAGACACAAAGTTAAGCAATGCATGCCATTCTATTCCTCAGACACACAGTTCAGTAATGCACACCACCCTGTTCCTCAGACACAGTTCAGCAATACACACCACCCTGTTTGTGACAGATAAAAAGTTCAGCAATGCACATCACTGTGTTACTCAGAGACACAAAGTTAAGCAATGCACGCCACCCTCTGTTCCTCAGACACACAGTTGAGCAATGCACAGCATCCTGTTTCTCATACACACAGTTCAGCAATGCACAACATCCTCTGTTCCTCAGAGACACACAGTTCAGCAATGCACAACACCCCATGTTCCTCATACACACAGTTCAGCAATGCATACCACCCTGTTCCTTAGACACACAGTTCAGCAATGCACACCACCCTGTTCCTCAGACACACAGTTCAGCAATGCACACCACCATGTTCCTCATACACACAGTTCAGCAATGCACACCACCATGTTCCTCATACACACAGTTCAGCAATGCACACCACCATATTCCGCATACACACAGTTCAGCAATGCACATGACCCTCTGTTCCTCAGAGACACACAGTTCAGCAATGCTCACCACTCTGTTTGTCATACACACACTTCAGCAATGCACACAACCCTGTTCGTCACAGACACATAGTCACACATCTTCTAAACAAACCACATATAGTATACATATGTAAGTATTACAAAAAATGACATATTCAACTGAGCAAATGCATTAAGCAAAATCATTTTAAATTGACTTTTTTATAAACTTTTAACAAATAATTTACACAGCACTACGACAATGTATTGTGGAATTAATATCACATTTCAAATATCTTACCTCAATTGTGATAATAGGATCAAGTTCATCATAATGCACAATAACTTGTTTAGCAGCTCTCTGAGCAATAGCCTTATCATCAGCCACTATAGCACCAATTATTTGACCCACACATACTACCTAGAATTTAAATAGTTATTATATATTTACATCATGTCCAGTTTCCCACAGTGCACATGTATTTCAGTTACATCTTGCATATTTCAAATGGATATATGAACTGATTGAATTGGTGCTGATAATAATAATAATAATAATAATAACATTTTTAATCCTTATTTCCATTGCATCCTCATATAACTGATTCAAGTTTAAGAGTTTAAAATTTGGTTACAATATGATATTTTTGTGGTTGGTGTTCATTTGAAGTACAATACAAAAATTGAATAGAAATACTGCAAATAAAGATAAATGTTATGAGGCAGGAGATGTGATGCGATGCCAGTCAGGCAGGTGGTGTGTGATGCGATGCCAGTCAGGCAGGTGATGCGATGCCAGTTAGGCAGGTGGTGCGATGCCAGTCAGACAGGTGATGTGGTGCGATGCCAGTCAGGCAGGTGATGTGATGCGATGCCAGTTTGGCAGGTGGTGTGATGCCAGTCAGGCGGGTGATGCGATGCCAGTTAGGCAGGTGATGCAATGCCAGTTCGGCAGGTGGTGTAATGCCAGTCAGGCAGGTGATGTGATGCCAGTTAGTGCGATGCCAGTCAGGCAGGTGATGCGATGCCAGTTAGTGCGATGCCAGTCAGGCAGGTGATGTGATGCGATGCCAGTTTGGCAGGTGGTGTGATGCCAGTCAGGCGGGTGATGCGATGCCAGTTAGGCAGGTGATGCAATGCCAGTTCGGCAGGTGGTGTAATGCCAGTCAGGCAGGTGATGCGATGCCAGTTAGTGCGATGCCAGTCAGGCAGGTGATGCGATGCCAGTTAGTGCGATGCCAGTCAGGCAGGTGATGCAATGCCAGTTAGGCAGGTGGTGCGATGCCAGGCAGGCAGGTGGTGCGATGCCAGGCAGGCAGGTGGTGCGATGCCAGGCAGGCAGGTGGTGCGATGCCAGGCAGGCAGGTGGTGCGATGCCAGGCAGGCAGGTAATGTGACGTGATGCCAGTCAGGCAGGTAATGTGACGTTATGCCAGTCAGGCAGGTGATGCGATGCCAGTTAGGCAGGTGGTGCAATGCCAGTCAGGCAAGTGATGCGATGCCAGTTAGGCAGGTGGTGCAATGCCAGTCAGGCAGGTGATGCGATGCCAGTTAGGCAGGTGGTGCGATGCCAGTCAGGCAGTTGGTGTGATGTCAGTCAGGCAGGTGGTGTGATGACAGTCAGTCAGGCAGGTGGTGTGATGACAGTCAGGCAGCCAGGTGGTGTGATGACAGTCAGGCAGCCAGGTGGTGAGATGCCAGTCAGGCAGCCAGGTGGTGAGATGCCAGTCAGGCAGCCAGGTGGTGAGATGCCAGTCAGGCAGGTGGTGTGATGACAGTCAGGCAGCCAGGTGGTGAGATGACAGTCAGGCAGCCAGGTGGTGAGATGACAGTCAGGCAGCCAGGTGGTGAGATGCCAGTCAGGCAGCCAGGTGGTGAGATGCCAGTCAGGCAGGTGGTGTGATGCCAGTCAGGCAAGTGGTGTGATGCCAGTCAGGCAGTTGGTGTGATGTCAGTCAGGCAGGTGATGCGATGCCAGTTCGGCAGGTGGTGCGATGCCAGTCAAGCAGGTGATGTGATGCGATGCCAGTTAGGCAGGTGGTGTGATGCCAGTTCGGCAGGTGGTGTAATGCCAGTCAGGCAGGTGAAGCGATGCCAGTTAGGCAGGTGATGCGATGCCAGTTAGGCAGGTGATGCGATGCCAGTTAGGCAGGTGATGCGATGCCAGTTAGGCAGGTGATGCGATGCAGTCAGGCAGGTGATGTGATGCGATGCAGTCAGGCAGGTGATGTGATGCGATGCCAGTCAGGCAGGTGATGTGATGCGATGCCAGTCAGGCAGGTGATGTGATGCGATGCCAGTCAGGCAGGTGATGCAATGCCAGTTAGGCAGGTAGTGCAATGCCAGTCAGGCAGGTGATGTGATGCGATGCCAGTCAGGCAAGTGATGCGATGCCAGTTAGTGCGATGCCAGTCAGGCAGGTGTAGCAATGCCAGTCAGGCAGGTGATGTGATGCCAGTTAGGCAGGTAGTCCGATGCCAGTTAGGCAGGTAGTCCAATGCCAGGCAGGCAGGTAGTCCGATGCCAGGCAGGCATGTGGTGTGATTCCAGGCAGGCATGTGGTGTGATGCCAGTCAGGCAGGTGGTGTGATGCGATGCGAGTCAGGCAGGTGGTGCGATGCGAGTCAGGCAGGTGATGTGATGCGATGCCAGTCAAGCAGGTGATGCGATGCCAGTCAGGCAGGTGATGTGATGCCAGTTAGGCAGGTGATGTGATGCCAGTTAGGCAGGTGGTGCGATGCCAGTTAGGCAGGTGGTGCGATGCCAGGCAGGCAGGCAGGTGGTGCGATGCCAGGCAGGCAGGTGGTGCGATGCCAGGCAGGCAGGTGGTGCGATGCCAGTCAGGCAGGTGGTGCGATGCCAGTCAGGCAGGTGGTGCGATGCCAGTCAGGCAGGTGATGTGATGTGATGCCAGTCAGGCAGGTGATGCAATGCCAGTTAGGCAGGTGGTGCGATGCCAGTCAGGCAGGTGATGTGATGCGATGCCAGTCAGGCAGGTGATGCGATGCCAGACAGGCAGGTGGTGCGATGCCAGTCAGGCAGGTGATGCGATGCCAGTTAGGCAGGTGGTGCGATGCCAGTCAGGCAGGTGATGCAATGCCAGTTAGGCAGGTGATGTGATGCCAGTCAGGCAGGTGGCGTGCTGCCAGTCAGGCAGTTGGTGTGATGCCAGTCAGGCAGGTGGTGTGATGACAGTCAGGCAGATGGTGTGATGCCAGTCAGGCAGGTGGTGCGATGCCAGTCAGGCAGGAGGTGCGATGCCAGTCAGGCAGATGGTGTGATGCCAGTCAGGCAGGTTGATGTTGCCATTATAAATGACTATACTGCCACCAACGTCCAACACTGAAGTTACTGTTGTATATCTGTATGATACTTTTGTTTTTATGAATTATACATAGCGCCCTATCCCAGAAAATTCAATTCATGTAAGTTCACCGAAAGTGTACTCAGTTGACAGTGCTAGTGCAGTGCCCTCTATAGAGATCTTCATTACCTGCTGTACCTTCATAGTGAACTCTGCTATGCTTAAAGGGTGGTGGTCGTTGCAACACTCACGTGTGAAATATGGGACTTGTATGAACAAAGATGGTGACTTTGACTGACACACAAACTAACAAGTACAAACTAAAACTTTACCAAGCTTTAACTAGGTAATTTCTTTGGTGATTGGAAGGTGTTGAAGGAGTCACCGACGGTAATTAGTGCATGTTGCACCCACCCATGTCAAAACTCATAATTTTCATTAGAAGACTGCACTTGATTGTGGGAATTTAAACAAATGTTTATCAACACAAATGACGCACATGCATGGCGTGACAACCACAGCCCTTTTAAAGCCTGAGGGACTGCACAGATTCTCTTCATGAAATCTAGAACCTGGATTTTATCTCTGACAGTGTGGACCAACCTGAACAATGCCGACTGATACAAAATTATGTGCATGCTCTTCAACAACCACACCATGAACCAAGAACATGGTCTGTTAACTTGACTCAACCTCTAATTAAAGAAACATTATTAGGAACTCACTAACTATCATCCTTTCAATGTAATTTGTGAAAAGAATTAAAACCATTTTGACATTTCATAATAAATAAGAAAAAGAGAAATAAATCTTCAAATAACAAGTCATTGAAAATGACACAGTCCTCGTTAAAGTTTTGAAAGTTCTCTTTGTGCTTGTCATATTAAAGCGGAGGGGTTGTCACGAGCGTGTCCTTGAAACTTGAGTTCCAAGTGGCATATACAGATTGTTTATTTACATCAAAACATGTGTTCCGTGTAGTAGAAATATGGCCAAAAATAAAAACAGCCGTTATTCGGCCATCTTTGATCTGATTATGAAATACACTGATATGTATGATGTATATGCCAAATACAAATGAAAATGGTACATAAATTGTGGAAATATAGTAGTAAGGCCAAAAAGTCAGATGGCTGTCAATCGGCCATCATTGACCAGATTTTGAAACAAATTGTCATGGACATGCATCATAACATGTATAAAGTACATGTATGTGCCAAATTTGAATGAAAACTGACAGAGCACGTCCAAGATACCGCATAAATAAACCAAAACAAGATGCCTGCCAGTCAACCATCTTTGATCCAATCGTGGACATGTATCCTAACATGTATAATCACTGATGTGCATATGTCCCACATAAAGTACTAGGCACATGCAAAGAATGAATGGAATCGGTCCAAGGGATTCTGAGATATGAGTCCGGACGGACGCACGGATGTACAGACGCACGGACGGACGGAGACCGAATTATAAGTCCCGGTTTTCGGACTTTGTTTGAACGAGGACTTTGTACACTTGAATGAGGACATACACATTACCCATATACTTCAATGTTTACATTTATACATACTACAGAGACCTAATTGAGCGTGTTATTCGTCACTGAGGCAGCCTTTACCAGTAGATCAAAAAGAAGGATGACAAATCAAAATGTGTACACTAGAGGGCAATATGGACACAAAAACTATGAGCATTATCTACACACATACACACCCATACATACATACACACACACATTGATAACTCACTTTTTCTGATGCAAAAACTTCTTCATCATAAACTGCTACACCAGTACTATTACTGCCTGGTACATCCTTGTATGTAATAAATGCATGCACTCCATCCAAACATGTAGCTTCATCACTCTTTATTGATCTGAATTACATAAGTTGGAAAGACATTAAATCCCAATAATAGTAACAAGAAATTTAAAATAGATTAAAATAGGGAAATAGATGAGGTCATTTGAGAGCATTAAAATGGATATTCAGATTTAAACACTTTTACAATATGGTTTTATTTTATGTTGTTTCTGACAAAACTTGCATAAAAACGTACAGTTAAGGAGCAACTTTTTGTGTAACAAATGGCTAAAAACCATAAAAACAGCGATGTTTGAACCATTTAACATTAGTTCATATGGGAAAAAGATCTTGTTATATGTCAAAATATTATTCAGTGATTTTGAGTAAAACAAGCAGCTTACAGCTGAAAGAGCTCCCCTGTAATTGTTAACTGTGAGTTGGAAACGTAGGGTGGAGTGATGTTGATAAAGTTTGACACCATAAAAGAAACTGGTCATTGTAGTATTACTAGTTTAAAGAAATAGAGATCATGGCCAGCCAGGAAAAATATGCAGCAAATATATAATCATTGAATTAATGACCTTGACCTGAAATTCAGCATTTTAAAAAAAATAGGTACAATGTAGTTCAGAACCCAACACAATGTGAAGAAGTAAAAAATATGCAAGAATGAGCAAAAAAAAAAAAACCTTGTATATGGTCTCATGAAATTAGTAAGTCAGAATCTAGTCCATGTCAAGAACATTCATGCCAAATTTCAATGCAATCTGACAAGCAGTTGTTGAAAGAATCATTTTTGACTAAAAATGACAAAAAATTCCCTAAAAGTATTTTGTATATTTTAGGTAGCTGTGTTATGAATAGCAAGGTTTGGGACAACAACAGGTCCAGTCAACCCATACTAAAAATAGTATGTTGCTATAAGAAGGGGAATCCAATTTTCATGAATATTTTCCATGAAATAATGCCTTTATATGGATGTAAATTGTGCCAAAAAATGCCCACTTTTTTGTCACACAATTTTCTCTAAAACAATAATTTGTACAGAATAAAAATCACTAGAGCTTATTTCTGAATATATAATTAAACAGCCCATTTGAAAAAAAATATTATGATACAATTTCCGCCCTATTTAATTGGTTGAAATACCCTTGAACAACCTCAAATTGAATGTACTTGCAAAGTTTCCTTCACATGTTGATAAAATAATCAGTATATAGGTTTAATTTTAGTGGAATGGATATTGCAGGCATGTTCATTCATTCATTCATTCATTCATTCATTTCAATTTCATGGATTTGTGATGGAAACAATGTCTTCCAACTGCTAGAGTTTCAGTCAGCCACAAATGCTGGAATCCTATATGAATACAGAGCAATAATTTCAAAGATAAAATATTATGTGGTTGTTCATCTCTGTAATGATTTTTCAGTTTGTACATATGTAATAATTGTACTTGGTAAAAGATTTTCAAGACATTGTATGTTGTTTATTCCGAAAGCCTGATTTACTTGAAACATTTTTTGATTAGTAGTAACAAAACCATTGGTACCATTGAAAGCAAAAAAGGACATTGTTAATCCAATATTGGTCTCCATTCGTACTATGAGAATATAGAAAACACCAGTTGGGGAAAAAACAATGGTGAAAAATACTGAACACAGGTGTGAACATGAAAACATGTAGGAACATGTATGTTGGATGTCTGTAGTTGATGATAAACAGATGGTGATGTCACTGCAAGACCAAACAAAAAGAATTTTGAATCTCCTTAACCCCCCCCCCCCCCCCCTCCCCCCAGCAAATCAGTTATTAACAATTCATACCTAATTTTAGCATGGGCTTTGGTACTTGTCACAAATGCTAAATACAGTTCACCTATAGTATAAAGAGAAATAATAACCAGCATAAAAATAAATATAATTATATAAATACCTATTATCAATAAAAATAACAACCAGTAAAAATGTATAAATCTATTTACAATTACCTGCCTTTTAAAATTTGTCACTTTTAAACAGTAAAAAAATATTATTTTTTGATATAAAAAATAACAAAACAACAAGCCATGCATAGAACAGTTCCCGTTTGTTATTGAATTAAAGATATATAGTTTTGTTTATAGTAATATAGCTGGAATATAAACATGTCAGGAATATGATTATGATAATTGTTTAACATTTAAATGATTGACATTTGTATCTGATCGTCAAACGAGTATGGAGAGATATTGCTCTGGAACAGCATTTTTAAAACAAAATCAGCCATTTTGAATACATGTAAAATAAATATTTAAAAATTAAACATAGTCAGTCAAAACATGTCAGAGATATGGCTCTAGAAGCCCATTCATTAATACAAAATGTACCAAGTTTGAACAAAATCCATCCATAAATGCCAGAAATGTTTGACATTTGATGATTTTTTTAGCACAAAAATGGCCACCATTTGGCCATTTTTAATAGGATTGTCAAACCAATATATCTGTATATCTATGACATGATGTATATGAATATTTGAAATTTTAAAAAAGTCAGTCATAGCAAGTCAGAGATATGGCACTAGAATCACATTCATTAAAACAAAATGGCCACCAGTCGGCCATTTTGAATCTTATCTGAAAAACAAAATGATGTGCATCAAGGTTCTATAATGTCAAATGTATATACCAAGTTTGAACAAAATCCATCCATAAACAGCAAAGAAATGCTTGATTTTGATGATTTTTAGCACAAAAATGTCTACCATTCGGCCGTTTTTAATAGGATCATCAAACCAATACATCTGTATATCTATGACATGATGTATAATAAATATTTGAAATTTGAACATAATCAGTCACAGCAAGTCAGAGATATGGCACTAGAACCACATTTATTAAAAGAAAATGGCTGCCAGTCAGCCATTTTGAATCTTATCTGAAAACAAATTGATGTGCATCAAGGTCCTATAATGTCCAACGTACATGTATATACCAAGTTTGAACAAAATCTATCTGTAAACAGCCGAAATGCTTGATTTTGATGATTTTTAGAACAAAATTGGCCGCCATTTGGCCATCTTGAATCAGATCGTGAAACAAATTGATGTGCATATGTATAATATCATGTATGATGTATGTGTGAAGTTTGATTGTGATTGGTCCAGGCATTTCTAAGATACAGGTCCGGATGCACGCACAGACGCACGGAGGTCAAAACATAAGTCCCCGTTTTTGGACTGCGTCCGAACGGGGACTAATTAAGCCATGCATGGCACAGTTACCATTAGTTATCAAATTTAAGATATACATGTATAGTTTTGTTTATAGTAATATAGTTGGAAGATAAACATGTTAGAAGTATGGATCAAGAAGATGATGCTTGATTATGATGATTTGTTAACATTAAAATGATTGACATCTTATATCTGATCGTCAAACGAGTACTTGTCTTGTACTTGTCTAGCAGCGCATTCATTTAAACAAAATAATTGCCAGTCAGCCATTTTGCATCCGATCTGAAAAATAAAATGATGTGCATCAGGAACCCATAATCTCTAATGTATGTACCTAGTTTGAACAAAATCCATCCATAAATCCCAAGATCCAGTTCTGGAATGCCAGAAATCCTTGATTTTGATGATTTTTTAGCACAAAAATGGCAACCATTCGACCACCTTGAATTAGGTCATGAAACAAATTGATGTGCATATGTATAATATTATGTATGATGTATGTGTGAAGTTTGATTGTGATTGGCATGTCTAGGATACAGGTCCGGAAGCGCGCACACATTGACACACAAAGGTCAAAACATAAGTATCCGTTTGAATGGGTAAGTGTTGTTTCAACACTGAGCTGTTATCACTGTAAACAATGTTAAATTATTCTTCAAATGCTCAGTTTATCCACAGAGAGACTGTGGTTTATCTTTTGAAAACACCAAACTTTCGTTTTCCCATCAAAATCCAAGCCAAGCCAAAAGATCAGACCACAACATCGGCAAGTCTCTTCCAAGTTGCGTTCAATAACATTAACATATTTAAATGAGCTGATGGTAATTTGAACACGTTCGCATCACTCATCGTTTTGATTGCTTAATTAGCAGCCTATCAGGTAGAAGAACACCGTCCCAGGTCAAAACATGGCAGATATTATACATCATTGAGCGTTTATTATGCAACCGGAATCATTCGCATACAATGAAACTAAGTTGAATTTATTTGCATTTCATAACAATTCAACAAATTAATTTTTTGTACGTTATTATAATCACTACTAAGTAACAATTGTGAAATGCAGCATGACCAAATCACTACCGCAATCATCTTTCAGAATACACTTACGTTACTAATAAAATATAGAAATCAAAGAAAGCTTAGAAAGAACTCCCGTGTGCTGAGAGTATTGGAGACACATTAAAAATTAATTCAAAATTACTTGTACTTGAGATGTTGATGGAAATGCAGAAAATTAATTATGCAAATAAGGTAACGAACAGATTTAAGTGTAAAACTAATAAGGTCTGCACAATGTACCAAGTTTCATTGAAATGTGATTAGAACCAAAAAAATATTAATTATTATGCTAATTAGAGAATTAATATGAACAGATTTTAACCCAAAATTAATCAGGCTGTCTATTGTCCTAGACCATTTATGTACCAAGTTTTATTCAAATGTGATGATCAATACTTGAGATATACAGTATTAATTAATTATGTTAATTAGGTGATTAAGAAGCACAAATATTTACCAAAAACTAATATGGTGTATAGTCCTAGGTTCATTGAAATGTGACAGGTACTCTTGAAAAGTTTCGTTGAAATTCAATGAGTGGTTTTTAGACATCAGTGCAACAGCCATAGAACAGCAAAAAATTAACTAATTATGCAAATTAGGTA